ATGCGTTCCAGCAGCTGCGCCTCGTCGAGAGGCGTCCCGAGGTGCCCAGATCGTCCCGAGTGGCCGCCAGTGACTCGAGCCATGCCTCGAATACACCCGCCTCCTCTCAGAGGAGGAGCAGGTACCGATACCGCCGCTGCCCTTCCCCGGTTGTGCCTGTGTGGGCCTCCTGGGGCGGCTGGGTCCGCTTCGGCTTCCTGCTCAGCACGCGCCCCAGGAGAGGTCCGGGGAGAGCTGTACATCCCCAGACCCCCGACGTCATGATTTTTTCATGACGTCGATCCCCTGATGGTCTGGACCCATTCCCCGGGACCGGTTTCTCATCCTCAGTTGTTTTTTGCCGGTCCCGAAGCCCGGCCTCCAGGGGCCGAAAGGAGCGAGAAACCTCCCGCCATGATTTTCCCACGCCTCGAGGGGCGTCTGGGCATTTATGTCGGCATTTCCTCGCTGGCCCCAGCAGGGGCGACCTGGCGATCGCGGAGCTCCTCCTCGGGGCCTACGACGCCGACGGCGACGGCGTGCTGAGCGCCGCAGAGGCTGCCGAGCTCGCGCTGGACGCGGGGCAGGGCGGCGCCGGCCCCGCGGAGGGCCCCCTGGCGGTGCTGTCCGCGCTGGGCAGCGGGGCCCGCCTCTCCAAGGAGGGCCTGCTCTCCATGTACGCCGGCAGATCGGAGGACCGGCACCGTGCATCAGAGCCCCGAATCATGAGGGTATATAACTCGGGTCCGGGCCAACTCGGACTCGTGTTGCGGCATATTCCGGACCCGAGTGACCCCGGGCCTGAGCTTCCCCGGATTAGTCGGGCGTCCAGAGCCCCAAATCATGAGGGGTAATTCTGGTCAGGGCTAACTCGGGTTCCTTTCCCGGGAATCCCAACCCGAGTTACCCCGGACCCGAGTTACCCCGGATAGCTCGAGCACCCAAGTTCAACCCCAAACCCCTTTGGGTCATGAAACAATCACGCCGGCAGGTCGAAGGATCAGCACCCTTCACTGGGTAAACGCGAACGTTCGTGAAGCTGCGCGCGGGCAGCACTCCCTGGACACGGTATGAATACTATCCTATCTACCATCACGATCGACAATAAATGCCTCGTCTGCGAGATAGTCTACGGAAACATACGATATTGCCAATATCATCATCGTCGCTCCTGGCCAGAAGGACGCTGTTTCGTCGGTCGCACGTTGCACACCTATCCCTGGTCACCTTCGACACGCACGAGATGCCTCCTGGAACATGTAAGTGATGCCGTCGACTGTCATCGAGACTATCACGATCCCGAAGCACTTCGAGCCCACCTTCCCACGCACATCCCTCCGTCGCCACGTGGACCCTGGCTCAAAACAGTCCCGCGCTCCGCGCGGACGGCCACTCGAGACGGCGAGTCGGCCAGACCGCAATCCTTCCCTGCACCGGTTTCGAAGCGCGCTGACACAGCACCATTGCGGCGTGAAGTGCGCCTAGCGGCTGACCGACTGATTGGTATTACGCAAGATGCCAAGCCCACGATTACACGCACGAGACGGACCACACCACGTGTGCTAACGCGCACACAGTTGGGTACCACCAACTACAGCTTGGCGACTCGAACGACTCTGACTTCTACACCTGCTCTACTTGCGCGACCTGCACCACCACCTGCAGATGGCGAGCACGGGCAGCCAGGCGGTCCAGCCGACCGCACAGAGGCCGAGAGCCCCTTGGTGCGGCCCCCGACCGTCCTCGGCCAAGTCTGGCAACTCTTTCAGCGCCTCCAAGGACGGCGAGCCACCAGCCAAGAAACGAGGGGCAGCCCGACAACCAGACACAACCCCCCCCGAGGAGGAGAACAAGGCGATGGACATGGACGCGGACGAGGCCGACGCCGAACCACGCCGAGCCCGACGCCGAGGCGGACGACGAGCACACAGAGGTCACCATACGGACAAGAGCTGGACGAACAAGGACAAGAACATGCACGCTCTCCTCATGCCATTGATGACCTTGACGCTTCAGAACACGCAGAAGATCAGGCTACTCATGTTCGCGGTGGCCGATACGTGGACGATGCCCAGTAATTCACCCGCTTCTCACACACACACCAGCGACGAATTGGAGGGGTTTCACAAGAGGGTCAACGGCTACATGTCAGAGCAGAACAAAGAGGCACTACAACGCCTGGGCCCACTGACCCCAGCACTGGCCTTGGCGATGCTGGAGGGACTGGCAGCATGCGAGATCGGAGGCCGAGTCAAGCAGCTGATCAACGACTACCTCGAGCAGTGCCAGCCAGCCGACGAGGCCAAGGAACCCACCATCGACGTGGACCTCCTCACCCAGCAGGTCTCGTTCATCAGGATAAAGAAGACCCACGATCCCAACGTCGCCAAGCTGGCGATCGGAGCACACGACTGGCCAGCCCGACAGCTCGTCATCGACGGGCTCCGTGCCGAGGGGAAAGCTCGCCACCACGTGGGCCCCGCCCCCGCGGGCTGGACGGAGGAGGAGATCTCGGTCTGGCCGGAGCACTTCAAGAAGATAGGCGGATAGTGATCACAGTTGGCGGGACCCTCCCAGGCACGTGCTTCCAACCATCACCAACGCCAACGCCTGCGTCAGCTATCACCGGCCCGACCTTGTCAGAGGATAGTGCGCGCTTATCAGACCATGCTGTCAATCCAGATGAGTACGCCGCTGATGATGAGGCCGCCAACTTTCTTTTATCGCAGTAGCTGACGCAGCCCCGTCCCCCGAGCTCGAGCGGTCACGCTAGTTAGTCTCCACTCTCCTCTTCCCTCCTCGCCTGCCCCACAGAAAACCAGATCCCAAATCCAGATGTCCCTTCTCCCGCTAAATTGTGTGGCAGGTTTTTTTTGATGAGCTCGTCCGAATCCTTAGATTGAGCAGCAGCGCAACCGTGCCTCGATAGGATGTTCACTCCAGGAGCAAACGCTTGTCTGCAAGGGCCGCGAAGGGGGATTGACAAGGGGGATAGGAAGAGCTGGCCCCTTTCCAAGAAAGCCGCCCCAGAGAAAGGGTTAGGGTTTTCTCCGCTGCTCCGCCTTGGCTGCCCGCATGAGCGAGCAGAAGCGTTGCAGCGCACAGCCGCAGAAGGCGCGAGGCAGCCCCCCCCTCAGCGGGGGGCGCGCTGCAGCGACGAGCATCACTGCATACTTCTCTCAGGCGTTCCCGCTGTGTCGGCAGAGGTTTCGGTGTTGATCGGGGCGGCGGAGATGCCAGCGTGGTTTAATACATTGCAGCCTGCTTCGAACTTTCAGAGTCTCTCTTCGCTCCCATGTCGTCGTTTTAATATATTTTATATATATATAAAAAAAAAAAAAAAAAAAAAAAAAAAAAAAAAAAAAAAAAAAAAAAAAAAACAGGGAAGGGGTCGAGATTTCATGGGGGTCGACGTTACGAACAAATCATTACGTCGGGGGTCGGTGACCGACCCCTGATCCCCTTCCGTATCCTTACGCATCGATTTTTATACAGCGAGACAACAACACGTTTGGCGTTCCGCGCGGATTTCTTGGATCCGCGCCGGGCTCTCCCCGGCGACGCCTCCAGCGCCGCCCCCGGCGCGCTCCGCACGCCAGGGACGAGGTGTCCAGCGCAGTTCCAAGAAATCCATGCGGAGCGCCAAAAGTTTATGTTTACGCCGTGCGTATGCTTATGTTTTATTTGTATTCGTATTTTTTCTTATTATTATTATTATTATTATTATTAGTTTTCTTATTCTTCTTATTATTATTATCATTATAAGTATTGGTAGTATGTGTCTTAGTATTCGTATTATTCTTATTATTATTCTTCTTATTATTCTTCTTCGTCGTATTATTACTATTATTCTTATTATCCTGCTTCTTCTTCTTCTTATGATTAGTATGCTTATTCTTCTTAGTACAAGAATTAGTATCAGCATCACTCTTACAATGATATCGTTAGTAGTACTACTATTACTATCATCCGTAAGGGTTTCGCCCCCTGTCGCCGGCACCCTGTCTCGGAGAATGGGAAATGCAGCAGCGAAATCTTGAGGCCTTGGCGCCACCGTGAAGCAGTGTCGGGACTTCACGCGAAGACGATGAGTAATCGGCAGGACACATTGGGATGTGGATGGTAGTGTTGAATTCGATGGTGTACTTCCATGGTTTACGGCTTCGGATGTGCGACTCGTGCGTAACGTGCGAGGGTTTATTGCTTCGGGGTCCCAAACATAACGTAAGCTACGCAAATGTATGGCTTCGAAGACGCGAACATTGAGTAATTTACGTACGCAGGTTGATGGCTTCGGACACGCTATTATGGTATAATTTTCGAGGGTGTATGGCTTCGGGTTGCAAAATTGCATCACTTACGCGGGTTCATGTCTTCGGAGACGCGAACATCATGTAATTTTCGACGGTTTATAGCTTCGGGGACGCGAGTACAGCGTGAGTTACAAGCGTTTGTGGCTTCGGGCATGCAAGCATTACGTAATTTAAACAACGTTTATGTCGTAGGGGATACGAATACGGCGTGTATTGCGAAGGTGGCTTCGGGGACGCGAAAGTTGTGTAATTCGCGAGGGTGCATGGCTTCGGGGACGCGAATACTGTGTATTTTAAAAGGGTTTATGGCCTCGGGGGCGCGACTTAAATATGTTTGTACGTGTCCCACGCCCCCCCTGAAATCCTGATACCCTTCCTAGGAGGTGCTAACCAGAGTGTTCTTCGGTTCCCCCCCCCCCGCGCGGTCTACAACAAGGAAGAGTAGGCAACAAGAAGCAGAACTGTAACAGTAGAAACTGGAAACTGGAACTGGTGCCGGCAACAGAAAACCCTCATCCTACAGCCTGGTGGCCCCACAGGGGGCCGGCAGATTCCTCCTCGTCGTTTTCTTCTTCTTGTCACCCAGACCCCCACCATGCCAGCGCCCCAGTTGGGGATGCACCCCTCGGAGCCCGAAGGAAACAGCCTGCATCCCCATCTAGAGGGGCGTAAGTCGGCCAGGGGCCCGGGCCACGCCCGTGCTTAGAGGAGCTGCTCCGGCACTGCGAGGGCGCCCTCGCCCCGCGGGTGGACTCCCTGGCGACCTTCGGCGCCATGGCCGTGGTGACCGTGCGCCTCGGGCGCGCGCTGCGGCGAAGGTTGTACGCCGGGCTGTCGAGGGAGGCCGCAGGCTCGGGGGCCCCCAGACGGGGTGGTGACCACACCGTGCGGTGAGTCGGTGGGGATTCGGGGTCACCCCACGGTTGGGGGACTCCAGTCCCTCTCCGAGGACGTCTCGGGCGACAGGGGCCTCCAGGGTCCCAAGACCGTGCGTTGACGGTCCGTGCGGGGAGGTCTTGGGGGATTTCGAGGTCACCTCACGGTCTGTCACCGCACCGCTTCGGGACTCCAAACAGGCAGCGGCAGGTGGGTGCTGCAGGAGGTGGGGGTCGGGCCCACCCGCGTGCGCGTCGGGTGGCTGTTCGCCGGGCTCGACGAGCGGGCGGACCCGCGGACCTGCGCGCTGCAGTTCGTGGACGTGGCGGGAGAGGCGAGGGCTGCGCTGGAGAGACACGCCGGGAGGGTGACGCGTAAGTCGGGCATGTCCGTCTACAGGAGGAATATCCCAAAATAGTATTTAAAAATATCTGGGGACGATGTTTCTAGTTTCTAGTATCTATTTGCCTATTCCTGGAGATGGTTTGACGATTTGTTTGATGTTGTGCCCAAAATCCGCTTGCAGGGGGACATGCCCGACCTAAGGTGACGCGGCTGCCGGAGCCGGAGGAGGGCGTCGGCGCCGCGCAGGCGCCGTACAGCTTGCTGGGGGCGCTCAGCAGCCTGGCGGGCACGCTGGGCGTGGCGCTGCCTTGGCAGAGGGACGCCGCGGGGCCTCCGCGCCAGGCCGCGGTGGCCGAGGAGAGGGCGGCCGCAATGAGGGACGAGGCGCGCAGGGCACTGGTGCCGATGCTGCAGCGCCTGCAGGGCATGCAGGCCAAGAAGGAGGAGCAGGACACCTCCGAGGACGACGTCAGCAGAGCGTACAAGAGCGTCAAGGACTTCAAGGTGCTCGCCAGGGGCGACCCCGCCTTCGTCGACATGTCGGACCTGCGCGGGTGCCCGGAGATCCGCAAGAAGCTGGCCGAGCTGGTCGAGGTCCAGGGGGCGCTAATTAAATATGGTCCTGGCCCAACGCGCCCCCCGCTTGTCCCTCCATTCTGACACCCCGGGAGCACTAAGGGCCTCGTGAAGGGTGCTCTGGAGGCCGTGGGGGGTTCCTTGGGAACGCCTGCGACTCCACAGGCCAGGGAAACCTCTGGCAACAACACCCTCTCTCCTCGTCCTCGTTCCCTCCCTTCCTCCCTTTCTTCCTCGCCGTCCTCCTCCTCTTCCTCCTCCTCCGCCTCCTCCTCCTCCTCCTCCTCCTCCTCCTTCTCCTCCTCCTCCTTTTCCTCCGTCCGTAGCCATTTTGGCTCAAGTCCGTAGTGTTTCGCTCAGGACTTCAGATATTGTAGGAGCTGTTGCATACGGTGTACTGTACACGGGTTTCCCACCTGAGCACAGCACGATATCTTTTTCGCACGCGAGCACGGAAGGCCCATGGCGCCCTCGCATGCTTCTCAAGGCGGTGCGCCGCCCTCGCGACACAAGCACAGACGCCAGGCGTGGGCCAAACCATAGTATTGTAAGCACTGTTGGTCGCATCAGACTGGCGATCGGTGGTGGGGCAGAGCGGATCTCGATCACTGTTCGCTACGCAAGCAGCCCAAGGCGTCAGCATTTGCAGGGATCAAGCAGCCAGCCACTCCCTCTGTGTCGGCGCTGAAGGCCCCAGCGCAGCCCGACCCCAAGCTCACTGCCGAGCTCAAGAGGTTGCGCGAGGAAGTTACACAGCTACGGAAGAAGGAGGTCGCAACCAAGCCCGACGGCCACGCCATGGATGTCGACGAGGGCAAGGACAGCGACGCAGACTTACGCAAGGAGGTCGGGGCCGTCACCGGGAAGCTTCAGAAAGTTGCAGACCTGGAAGGCCCAGAGTGCGATGAGTTGCGGGAAAAGTTGCGAGCACGGCAGACCACCTTGCGAGGTCAGATCTTTCGCGGCAAGACTCTGGACACGCGGCTCAAAGAGATGTCCTTTCAGCACACGAAGTTGGTCAAGAAGCGGGAGCGCCAGACCGAAGTGGTCGAGGAGCTCAAGCAGGTGGTGGCAGAGGCGCAGAAGACTGTGGAGGACACGGCCGAGGCGCTTCAGGCCACAGTCGCGGAGATCACAAAGTTGGAGGCCGAGCGGTGCCAGTTGGTGGCTGGCGCGCCACGGGCCCCTACGAAGCCCGCCGACGACGGCGCACAGGGGCTCAAGCAGCTCCTTGACAGCAACCTCACGGTCGAGAAGTGCGGCGAGTTGCTCGAGGGCTTTGGTGGCAAGCCGGCTTTGGCGCAGAAGCTGCACGAGTGCTTGGCTGAGGCGAAGGTGGCGGAGGATTCGCACAGTGCTCAGCAACGCCGCGCCGCCGATGAGGCGAGGCAGCAGCAGCAGCAGCAGGAGGCCGAGCAGGCCGTTCAGGCTGCTGCAGCTGCGACGGCTGAGCACTGGCAGCGCTGGGAGCAAGCCATCCCGTCGGAGGCGGGCGATCCAGCGGCGCTGCGAGAGTTCCTCCGCTCGGTCGAGCAGCACGCGCCCGATGATGAAGGTGAATTGCGTGAAGCAGCCAAGCGGGCGGGCGCCATGTTGTTGTCGTTCGCGAAGCGGCACAAAATGGGTTAGTTGGCTGTTGGCGTTGATTGGCACGCATGTGTGCTTGTTCTCTTGAGTCGGCACCATGACGCGCATTGCTACTGTCAACGCTACTTCGTCCAACCCGCCCGCTGAGACGTTCGAGGCCGATGCTCCTGTGCTAGGAGATGAGCAGCCTATCATGTGCGTACAGGAGCATCACGCCACGGCAGCGAAGATGGGATCATTTCAAGGCCGCATGAGCGCGGTCGGCTACCACGGCGCGTGGGCCCCAGCCAAAGAGACTGGCCACGGGCATGGCACAAGCGGTGGCGTGGCGGTGATTGCGCCGAAGAGGGTGCAGGTTACGGCTGGGCCCTTGCTGGCCGACACCAAATGAGTGTTGTTGGACGAGAGAATGGTCGCGGCGCTAGTGCGCACTTGGTTCAAAGGGGGCTTCGTGGCGGCGTCGGCCCATCTCCATGTCGGCGAAGAGATGGGACAGAAGAATATGGCATTGCTCACGACGTTGACTCAGTACCTGCTTAGATTGCGAGCGCTTGGGCATGAATGGATTGTTGCAGCTGGCTACAATATGGACCGCGCCCCGATGCAGCCGTGGGCGACATCTATAGGAGGAGTGCTGGTGGCGCCGTCTGCGCCTACATGTATTCAGAGTACACCAGGAAGGACGAGTGACTACTTCATCATGCCTGAGGGATTCGCCATCCGTTCTGGAATGATTGATGCGGTGGACGCTGCGACGATCTGGCCACGCAGGCTTGCGTTGATGCAAGTTCACGCCAAAGACACAGTCATGCGGCGCCGAGTTGCTGATCACTGGCCAAGCCTGGTTGCGGGAGGTTCCCACGTAATTGGAAGAGGCTTCATGGTGATATTTAACATGCCACGACAGCTAATCAGTTGACAGGGTATCGAGGCTGAGCTTCTGGACCGACATGACGTTGCTGGACCCCGTCTCCACGGTTACGAAGGCAGAGCTGGAGAGAACCAAGCTCGTTGGAAGAAGCTCCGCGCAGTCCCACAGCACCGACAGCCTCGACCCCCGCGCGGGTGTGCAGCGCGGAGTGCAGCGGCCAGGTGGGCCAGGCATCTGCGCAGTGCGCACACCGCGCTGGAGTCGTGCATTCCCAACCTTGACGCGGAAGTGGCCGAGCAGCCAATGAGGTCGAAGCGCGCTGCCAAGGTTCTGATCGACACCGAGGCCTTCCTCGGCAGGATCCAGAGGCTCGACTGGGTGTTCGCGCACCTCGACGAGCTGGCGGCAAGGTTTTTCAGGTGTGGAGTGGATGCGGTGGGTGACCCGTCTACGCCCGATTTGATCGAGCGAGTTTTGTCAGTTTTGTCCCTGGCCCAGGACAAAGAACCGCACTTTTCGCCGGCAAAGGGGGGGCCTGGAAGTCTGGGGTCAGGGATGCGTGCCTGGACGGGGCCAAAGCTTCCCATCGTTTTACCAAGGTCCGTGGAACCCAAGAGGTGCTCACCGAGGAGCATCGGATCCAACCGTTCGAGCTTGCCGCCGAAACGCGCCACGAATGGCCCCGTGTTCGGGCCACTCACACTTGCGACGAGTTGCAGCTGCCAAGCGATCCGCAGGATTGGGCGAGCCTGCCGCCGCTCGGGGTCGACGATTTGAGGAGAGCGATTGCGCGAGTTCCCCCGAAGACGGCGGTTGGCCGTTGTAAGATCAATCCTCGTGCGTTCCAGTACCTTCCTGAGGCTACGCTAGCCGGGCACTCGTCTGGCCGAGCAAGCGCTTAGTGAGCAGCTTGTCAGGCTGCCAATGCCCGACGGCGGCCACAGGCTAATCGCTATTCTAGAAACGATTCTGCGAGTCTTGGGACGCAGTCGGCGCACTGTGATTGATGAGTGGGAGGCGGGGAGTCGTGCTCGAGAGTTTGGGGGGTCTGGGAAGGGTAGAAGTGCGTCGGATTCAGCGTTCGAAGTGAACCTTTCGGCCGAGGTAGCCAGAGCCAGAGGCTGGCACTCGGTAGCCCTCTTGCTAGACATGATTAAACGCTACGAAATGATAAAACTCTCGGTCCTGTTTCAGATGTTTCGGCAGGTAGGTTTCCCGCTCCGCCTTGGGTGGATGGTCATCCAGACTTAGATTGCCCCTTGGAGGATTGACGCGGTCGCATCACTTTCGGAGCCCCATCGTTTCTTTGCCAGGGATTGTAGCTGGATGCCCGGCTGCTACCTCTATTACGATGGCAGTGCTGCTGAAACCAGTTAAGTTTGATTTGAAGAATTCCAGTCCAGGCCAGAACTTTAATTGACGATGTCTCTCTGCACTGCTCAGGTCCTGACCCTGGGCGAGGTGAGGTGGTGCTTGCTACGGGTCGGGAGTTGCGTCGTCTTGTGCGGCCGATTGGCCTTCTGCTGCTACCTAATACGTTTGGGGTTGTTGCCGCCAGCTTGGCCGCTTCCAAGCACGTGGCAATGTCGGCCAAGTTGATGGGAATGCAGGGCTATGATCACATGCGAAACCTTGATCATGGTTTGTTTGGCAGGCGTGCTCTCCGAAAGGTGGGAGCCAAGAGGCGAGTGGCGCTGGTCAAGAGGAAGCAACGCATCCAGGTGCTCAAGAAGTCTGCGGGCACCAAGGTTGCTGGCTTGCGGCGCACAGGCCTCGTGCCCAGCGGAGGCCACGGGGCCTCGGTATCAGGAGTGACCACTGACACGCTCAGAACCCAGGGCCTTAGCTGGGAGCCTTATGGGGGCGGGCGGTGCTTCTCACGGCACTGGTTTCTTGCATGCCCACAAGGGCCCCAGCTTTGACCCCATCTTTGATGCTACGATCCCGCTGGTGTCCTGGTATTGCCGCTGGGTATGGGATCGGAAAGCGCCCGATTCTGACATGCGAGTTGCCTGCTCGGCTGCTCGAGCTCGTTTGCGTGATCGCCCTCGCTGGGATCGCGTCCAGGGGCCTATTGGGGCGGTCATTACTCGTTGGGGCGAGTTGGGTGGGATTTGATTTCTCACCGTCAACTCAGGACTGACCAGGGCGAAAATATTTGTCTGTTCACCGCTAGCCCCTGGGTTGTCAAGCTGCGTTTGCGCGAGGGCACCAGTCGCGCCCAAGTGCGGCAGATGTTGGAGGCGATTCCCGAGACCTGCGGCGATGAACATGTCTGTGGGGGGGGCGCGCTCCGATGAGGGATATTGGCTGTTCAGGACCCCCCTAGGCAAGCGGCCCTGAGAGGCCTGATCAGCGGGAAACTTTCGCCGCCCGCCAAGAAGCATCAGCATGGCTACGCGGCCAGTCCCCAGCGCGAATTTGGTTGCGATGCCCTCGGCACTTTCGGCCACCAGTGGCATGAGTGTAAACGAGCTTGGGAACCCAGTGATGACACAGCCGAGGCATCCCTGCTTCCAGACGACGTGATTGAGCATGTGAATTGGCTGCGGGACAAAGC